CAAATGGAACTTATTACTTTGACATAATAACGAAGGAGTTGCGTTACTAGACCTTGTAAACACGTAAATGCAGAAACTTTATGGTTGGAAGATGGTTTATGAGATATTGTACTTTCACATTGATTTACGTATTCCACTTGAAGATTGCCAAACATAATACTTCAGTGAAGCTTCCAAATGGTTATCCTAAGGATCTTAGACCCTTCTATGAGACGACAGCAGAACAAAAATTTACATTTACAGATAAGAAAAAAGGACCAACTAAATGATCGCCAAAAATACCAGCCCAAACATTTAATTTTTGTGGCTGCTGGGTGTGAACCTCATGATAAATTCTGCGATTAGAATCGGACCAATATCGGCAGCTATGACGATTTACTACGCCATTTAAGAAAAAGGAACACTCGTCGGAAAAGCAAGTGTTGAATAGAAAATGTTCATCGTTTATAATTCGTTCACACATATCTTCACAAAATTGTAATCGCCGATCAAAATCGTCTTCATTAAGTTCTTGTACCAGGTGAATTTTATACGGATGAAAACTATGGGCCTTTAGAATCAGTTGGACAGTACGTCGACTAACACCACACACAGTCTCCAATTTGCGGATACTTAACGTAGGATCTACATAAACTTGCCCTAAAACCCCCACTTCTATTGCTTCGTTCCTTATTGGATTTTGAATGATGCGTTTTTTATTGGGGAGTTACCCAGTTTCTCGAAATTTAGCTAGTTCTAGAACATATTTTTGATGCACGTTACTGTTCTCATGTCGTTCATTAAATATTTCTGCTGTTCTATTAGCGCACTGATTATTTCCGAAAATTATTTCGATAGTTTCAACTCTTTCTGCTGTGGAATATAACATGGTTAATTTATGTAATAAAGCGTTGCAAGTTACTTTAGCAACAAAGTTTGGTCAAATCAATCGCAAACTATGTAACGTACTAAATTCTTATTTAAAATAAGTACGAGGTATTTCCTTATATTTCTTCAAGAAATAACTTTTTTGCCACAAAAAACGCTCCAATAGCTATTTTCAACAACAAAATGATAAACAAACCATGTGTGTAGTGAAGAAAAGCATTTACTTATTAAGTAAATTCTTTTAGTCAAATTTCTTCTGAAAGTGGCACAAACTAATCTGATGTACCTATTAAGGTGTACTTTAAGGTTTAAATCAACAAATCTTCAAAACTACTGATTTGAAGCTCATGTATTTTACATCATTATAAAGGGAATTGAAAGACCTTTAGGGTTGGTGTCACCCCCACCCAGGGGGCTGCACGTGTTAACGTGATTTTTTGCCAAACTTGTGTACCCCTCGAAAACAAAATCGACGGGTCTGAGCGTTTTCCAAAAAAAAAACTGAGCTGCCAGTAGATGCGTCTGTTTCGTTTTCGATGCGCCACCCTGTATTATAAAAACACAATAGAAAGGCTTGAGTTGTTACACGTCACAGAGAAAACAGTAAAACTGAATCTAGGTTCCTTTTTTGACTGAAAGTGACTATTTTGCCCGGTACATCCATATTATACTGTTGGTATAACAAAAAATAATGGAAATGACAATAGACCGGATTTTGAAATCACACTCCTTTATAATAATGATTAAGATGTGCTTGTTATACAACATGTATAATAACTCAATATGCATGGTCATTATACTTTGTTCTTGCAAATGACATATAAAAGTAGTTGTTGAGTTGTTTTTTTTTTGAATAAGTTCAGTTTTAATTTGTTTTTATATTTATAGAAAATCTGTGAATCTATGTTGTGGACCGCGCTATAAGTGAATATACATTTCATAGATGGCGCTTCATGACCCAAAAGCCCTTGATTTAACATATCATTTGTTTCCCGCTCATTTTTAAATTTTCCAATTTATCAAGTAGCCTGGGAGTTTCAACCTGTGAAAATAATGGGATAATAGAATGCAATCAATAACAATAGCTTCACTAATAAAATAGACTCTGTATTAGCTTGTAGTAAACAATAATTTATTAGTGACACCAAAAAATGAGTAAAGGCTCGAATAGCAGTGACAATTCCGTATCCAACCAGCAAACGAAGGATCGTTTACTTAGGTTTTTTCATCATCAGTGTTTAACTAGAAGGAGAAACGTGACTTATCTTTATAGTAATGGCGGTTTCTCAAGTTAGTAGTTAAAAAATGATCATTGTGTTTATATAAATTTTCCTACATCAGAAATGGATTTTTATATGTAACGCTCAACCAGCGCCCCATCCCGTGCTACGCACGTGTATTCTTTTGATACAACATATCAGAGATCATGACGTCAGAGACGAGTATTTTGAATATCGTATTGCAACAAGTTTTGTGTTTATGCTCTTTGGATACACACGATGATCGAAATAGTGAATTTACTCCATGGAGAGTATCATCACATGTCAATCAAACCACATAGACTAACGTTTAAAAGTATTTGAACTGATGGAAGTTATTAAAGAAAAGATTACAATATCTGTATGAAACATTTATTTTCTTAATTCTTAACAACATGCAACTATTTATAATCAAAATAATCATATTTTTGACTCACAAATATATCCTCCTTTACTTCTTTACTTTTAACTACAGCCTGACAAATGATGGGTAAACGCAAAAATAATTTTTCTGTAGTGGATGGGGTTTTTTCGCCATTCGTCTTGTAATATTCTCCATAAGCGTTCTTGAAACGTAGGACAACATTTCCGGTCTGTCCAGTTCACCCCACAGCAACTCTATCCGAGGATTGGGTAGGTCATTGCATGACTTTCAAAATATTTTGTTTTTCTTTTGCTTTCAAAAATTGTGTACAGAGCTTGGACGTGTGCTTGAGATCATTATCATGTTGAAATGCAAACCCCGGATTAATAAGACGAGTCCCAGAAGGTACAACATGATTTTGTAGTGTGACTTTGTAACCTTCTTTATTTAGTATTACCTGTACTCTCACAATATCCCCCAGAGCTGAACCATCAAAACAGTCCCAAATGATTATAATAATAATGTATTTATTCCTACAAAAGAAAATACAAGACAAGTTGCAAAACCAGTTTTATATGACCATATAGTGGGAGGGCCGAAGTTCGGCATATCCGCTCTTCCACTTAACCCCTGGTTTTAGGTTTACATCATAATAAGATAAGCATATATATATAAATGAGGTAGCGGCTAATTTGATAAATGGTACTATAAAAATACATAATGACTCCAAAGTCATACCATGCAATTACCTGTAATGTAATAGCGTATACGTATACTCTCGCGGGATATTATTATAAAGTTTACTGATATTATACGAAAAAGATCTATCGAATAAGGTGGTAGAATGAAAATGCGATGTCAGTTTTGTTTTATTGCGGGTATTGCGATTGTGAGCTAAGTAACGGAAATGAATTTTTTCGTGTCAGTAGGATGGTAGTTTATGTATAATAATCTTATGGTACTGCACGAGGCTATGAAGCAGCCTGCGTTGCTTCATGTTCAGCCAGCCAGCATCAGTAAGCTTTGATGAAACAGAATCGTATTTTAAACCAAAAATAGGTCTCAGACAAGAAATTTGCACGCGTTGTATTTTATCAGTGGCGAATTTAGTTAGACATTTGTCATAGACGACATCACAGAAATTAAAATGCGACAGAACAAGAGAATTGCATAGTATGACTTTAGTTTGTGGTTCATGTAAGATTTTTGACCGTATATCGTCTTTAAATTACAATACGCCCTTCTGGAGCACTTGTTAACATGATCCTCAAACCTTAAGATTTTTTCAAGGTATAAGCCTAAATTACGCGATATCGAGCTTATTTCTAAAGTATTGTAATCCAGGTTTATTTTCACCAGAGGTTCACAATGGTCTCTCTAATTTTTCGGCCCGAGTAATATGACTGTACTTCTAGCCGGATTCAAGTCTAAGCATATGTTTCGAGACGCTTTAGTGAGACGGTCAAGGTCTTTATTTATCAGATCAACAGCAGGCAATGTTTGAGCTGGAGGGAATGATAAGTACACTTGTGTATCATCTGCATAAAAATCCCAGAATAGAGCCCTGAGGAACACCAATGGTCACTTTCAATGGCGTGGAGTACTTATCATTCAGCATTACCTGCTGTTGACGATCGCTGAAGTAGCTACGTATTAGAGACTCTACATCGGCCGTGAATCCGTAAAAGTGAAGGATGGCTAAGAGTAGGTCATGATGTATCCTGTCAAATGCCTTGAGCACCAAGGCAGTCATGTTACCTTTGTCAGCACTGCATAATACATCATCCACCACTCCCAGCAATGCTGTTGCACAGCTATGCGCCGGACCAACGACGATGAAAAGACCTAGACCTTTCTATTTACACTAAAACGCGTTGAAAGGATAAATATTAGGGAATTGCAATGTTGCCAGTTACTAGCTGATAGAATTCCTAACCTGGTAGTAAACAAACCTCAAACAAATATTTCATCGTGTAAACCAGCTATTTGGACTCATGAAAATAATAAAATTGTTAACATTCTTGAAAATCTGCATAAGCAATAGTGAAAAGTAGAAAAGTGAACTATTTTCGTATTGAATTTACCGTTAGCGAATTGGAAAGAGATTTCCTTCAGTCACAGAGCTTCAGTCGACATTGGCAACGTCGCATTTTTCTTATGAATGGACATTTTACGATAGTATAAAGTGCGTATTTTATGCTTGAGTTGTGGATTTTCACAAATCATTATTTTTGTGCTATTTGCCATAAGTTTGTTAGTGATATTGAACTGTTACCTGTTGAACAATGGTGCGATCGTGTTATGTGTGCAAGATAAACAGCAGTAATCCAGAATCGGCCAATTTATCATTCCATCGGTAAGTAAGGTTATGTTTTCATATCATAGGCGTGGCAATACAAATTTGACTGAAAAAAATATCATAAAACAGTCTTTTACCATCATTTTAGTAACTTTTTGTAGCTTCCTGACGAGTTTATATGAATATATATATCCATCACTAGCAGTATGATACAATTTAAAGATGTTCTGGGTGTAGTTCATCAAGTACAAAAATATCCACATACACAATCTTCATGCAACTTAAGTAAACGTGATTTTGCCATGATTTGATTATATTTTTGTGCTAACTAGTTTATAATCATTAGACAGATCATTGGTGTAAGACATGTGTTTACAATTTTAGACTCCCATCTGACCCAGCAAAGCGCATTTTATGGATTTCACTGCTTGGCATTGACTGGGAGAAAACGTTGCCGAAAGTGGCACTGATATGCAGCAAACATTTTCATGATAGGGACTTTGAATATGATTCTGCTGGAAGAAGGCTTTTGAAGGATGGTGCTGAACCAGTAGATGTTCGCTCCATACATGATGAGCAGGAGTATGCAAGGTAAATATGTTTGTTACTTTTTTGAGTTTTTTTGACATGCTATTAATAGCATACAGATACATTTGCCCTATATATTCATATTGATTAATATTTACTCAGCATTTCTATTATCTAAAGTTTGAAGAATTAAAAATGTGTCAAGATTATACTTGTACTTTACTCTAGACTCTAGCCCTGTAAATATTTACTTTGTTATTGTATCCATAAGTATCTTAAACAAACATTATTATTCCAGCTCTGATTCAACAGTGACACTTACTCCACCAAAGGAATCAAGCTCAGAAGCCCATAGCAGTCAAGGGAGCCCTGTCAGAAAGCGGTGAGTAGAGTTCTATACGGACTTGAACTATTCTCATATAATAAGCTTATACTACATATTATTATCAAAATAAACAGATTGGCACAGTAAAATAAGTCAGTGCCTGTGTGCTTCAAGTGTGCTTTAATAAATGCAATTCATACATTCAAGTACATTACCAAACAATTATTGTCAAAACTTATCTAAATAGTATCATGTGTATGTCAAAGGATTTTGGCTGTTTACATGTGTTATGTACATTATTTTATGTATACCTTTTATTTTAGATTGAGAATGGAAGAGTTAGCTATACCAGGGCCTTCCCATGTGGTGTGAGTATTCTCTTAATCTAAACCATTTCATTTACTCATGTAGAAAATATTTTAGCTCAAGTCATATTCCTTTTCCTGATGAAGCTTCTAAGATGGTAGAGCCTCCAGAAATTTTGCAGTCATTCACATCATCCAGTACTGCAACTGCTTCTGAACAGGAGTATCAATTGGCAATTAGAGGCAATGTCACCAAACGAAATGTCAGAACACCACGTAAAAGAAGGTATTTGAGGGAGACAAGAACTTGTTTCTTACTAGCTATTTTGTATCAAGATGAAATGATATATAATATTATTTAATGAATAAAGTATATAGTTGACACATTTATCCTTTTCAGGCTAAAACGTTATGTTGGAGATTTATCAAGTGATGACTTTTCCACTCCCAGAAAATCAAAGTCAAATTATCGGTTGATGAAAAGTTCCCTAATGACATTGAGGAAAAAAGTAAAAAGTCTCCAAACAAGTGTTGCTGCTTTGAGGAGAAGAATAAAAACTCTAAGTGGCTTATTGAAACTTTTGAAGCAGAAGAATCACATAACAGATTCAGCTGAAACTGTATTGAAGGTAAGCAGATTGATGAAGACTGTGTGTCCCAGATACCCGAATTCATTTGAATGGAGCAATTGATCAACTTTTTTTTTCAATATAATAATTTTCATTACAACACACACACAACACTCAACATACCATAACTGGTCAGAAGACCAGTTGTAATCTTGCTCATTGAAAATAAGCATTATCATCTTATCACTTTTGCACATATAGCTCCATGATTTTTTTCTTTTAATTATAGCATTTGATATTCTTTTTTTATTCGTATTTTGTTTATTTTGACTAATACTTGTTACAACAAGTATACATATCGTCATCTAACCACAGCAGGTCATGAGACTGGTTATGGTAGAAATAGAATTGAGTATGGGTATGTTCAGTGTTAATATCTTAGTTTCCTGATGTTATTTATCTTGCATAAATGTAATTAATACTAGTTTTAAAATACTCATTCTGTTCAGATTACATGATTTAATTGCATTCTAAATACTTAATATCTCTTTTAGGCATCTCTTTCTGGTATGCCTTTGGAAATCTTTGAAAGAATGTTGAGGGGGCGTACTAGCCAGAAATATAACCCTGCCTTGCGGTCATTTGCCCTCACGCTGAGCTTTTATTCCCCAAGAGCATACAATTTTGTGAGGAAGACATTTAACCTTGCTCTACCCCATCTGTCAACAATAAGCAAATGGTATAAGTCGATTGATGGTTCACCAGGCTTCACTGAGGAATCCATTGTGGCCTTGAAATTAAAACAAGGAGAAGCTTCAACCAAAAACTCTACTGTTATGTGTAATTTAGTCCTAGATGAGATGTCTATTCGGAAACAAGTTGAATGGACAGGGAGTAAGTTCACGGGGTATGTTGATATTGGGGCTAACATAGAATCAGACGTTCTACCAGAAGCAAAGGAGGTGTTGGTTTTTATGTTAGTATGCTTGAATGGAGCATGGAAAATTCCGGTGGGTTACTTTCTGTTGGATGGCTTGACTGGTTATGAAAAGGCAGAACTCGTGAAAAAATGCCTAACCTTCATCCACACTTCTGGAGTTACTGTAGCATCATTAACATTCGATGGTGCTCCAGTAAATTTCACAATGGCTTCTTGTCTAGGGACAAATCTGAACGATGTAACAAACTTGAAGACTTATTTTCTCCATCCTATAACGGGTCAAAATGTATACATATTTCTAGACCCAAGCCACATGATAAAATTAGTCAGAAACGCTTTTGGTTCCATCAAATACTTAGGTGATTCTGAAAACAATCAGATAAGTTGGGATTATTTGGTGAAGTTAGTTGATGTGCAAAATATCGAAGGTTTACATTTAGGCACAAAAATAAGAAATCGTCATCTACAGTGGACGAGAGAAAAAATGAGGGTCAAAATAGCTACACAAACTTTAAGTAGAAGTGTTGCTGATGCTTTGACCTATTTATCCAAAGATTTAAAACTAGCGACGTTTGCTAATGTGGAAGGTACCGTAAAATTTGTTCAAACATTTAACGATATTTTTGATATTTTCAACTCTAGAAACAGGTTTTCAAAGTACTTATTTAAGCGCCCACTTTCTCCAGCTACTGCAGATACATTTTTCAAATTCATGGACGAGGCAGTTCAATATATCCATGGATTGCGACTAGGTACTCTCCCAATAATACATTCTCCAAAAAAAACTGGTTTTTTAGGATTTTTGATTTGCATTCAGAGCTTGAAACAGTTTTATAACTTGTGTATTGTAGAAAAGAAGGTTTTAAAATATATTTTGACAAATAAATTATCACAGGATCATTTAGAGCTTTTTTTTGGAGCTGCATACAGAGATATCTGGCCCAGACACAGGAAATGTTGATAACCCAGAGCGTTTGACTATCTTATCTTGTGGCAGTGGATATCATATAACCAGGGCGGACGATGGTGAAGATCTTTTAAATAGCCCAGAATTACTTCAGTTTGAAGAAAAAATAAAAAACGATCTTGCCCTTTACCAGTGCACACCTTTTGCATGGAATCTTACAATTTATACAGAAGATGTTGTTTCATACATTGCAGGGTTTGTGGTGAATTGTTTAAAAAAATGTGTTACTTGTATAAATTGTAAGAATTCTTTAGAGGGCGATATTGACATGCCATTGCAAAAAAGAAAAGTTTATGGAGAATTGACAAAAGCCTCAGGAAGAGTTATTCAAATTTGCCGCCATGGTGAAAAATACTTTCGTTTCTTCCAAAAGACAACTAATATCTTTAACAAAAATATCAAACATCTCTCGGATATTCTAGTCAATAATACCATACAATCAATATCACCACATATTTTGGGGTATTTTGAACACCACCTTCTTGAAGATGACCCTATTGATGGGCACTGCATATTTCTGATAAAACTGATTTTGAAAAAGTATTTCTCACTCAGAATTCATCACGAAACTGTGAAAAAATCGGACAGTTTAAAAAAAAAACAGAATTAGAAGTGTATATACGAAGGCAGTATTATTCAGCCATCAGTAAGATTTTTTTCTTTGTTGTATCTCTCGTAATTTTTTGGATTCTATGATATGATTCTAAGGTTGAGAAGTATTTTTAAATTATGTACATTTTTGTAGACCTGTAGGTGGCAGAAGTTCAAGCTTTGTTTTTCCCAAAATGCATAGCTAATTAGTAGATTTTTAATTTTCTGGCGACACTGATCATGTATGTATAGGTCGACTACATTTCAGCTGTTTCGCATGTAATTGAAATAATTCAAGATTCCGCAATTTCTACCAATACACAGTAAAATGGAAATATCCCGACTGCATGTATTGTTTTTTTTTTCGTATTTCATGTTATAAATGGATACATAAGCTATCTTATAAAATTAATTTGCTATACAAATTTCTCAACACGATTACTACAACACTTTAGGTAACACCCCAAGATTGAATGAATTATTTACAATTATGCTTAATGTGTTGATGTATATATTTTTGATTCGCTAGAATCCGAATGCAGACTCAATTACCATGAAGACGAGGACGACAACCACGAGGAGGCCGTGGAAGTCGCAGCCGAAAACATGAGGAGTCGACCACCTGGCCAGGAGACGGATCACCCCTCCAGTCCAGAGGAAATCCGTCTGATCATCCGCAGGTTGAAGGTCAGAAAGGCGCCGGGAAGGGACGGCATCAACAATAGGATGCTGAAGAACCTTCCCACCAAAGGCATTGCTGCGCTCACCAACATCGCCAATGCCACTCTGAGACTTAACCACTTCCCGCGGCGGTGGCGGGAAGCCCAGGTTATAATGCTCACCAAGCCAGGCAAGGACCGGAAGTTGCCCCAGAACTACCGGCCCATCAGCCTGGTTTCCTCGGTGGGCAAAGTAGTCGAAAAGGCTATCGCCGTTCGACTAGAGAAGCAGGCAGAAGAACTGCAACTTCTCCCCCCAGAGCAATTCGGCTTCAGATCCTCCCACAACACGGAACTCCAAGCGCTACGACTGACGGAAAACATCACCAGCGGCTTCAATCTCCAGGAGGCAACCGGTCTCGTCCTGCTGGACGTGGAACGAGCCTTCGACCGAGTTTGGCACGATGGACTCATCGCCAAAATGGAAGCCGCCGGAATCGATGCGAACATGTGCCAACTGATCCAGAGCTATCTAACACAAAGATGGTTCACGGTGAAGATTGGTACATGCCATTCAACAAGACGTCAGCTGGAAGCAGGCGTGCCCCAGGGGTCAGCCTTAGCCCCCCTGCTCTACAACATCTATACTTACGATGTGCCGAAGACAGCTGACACAATGCTGGCCCTATATGCAGACGACACTGCTATAGCCGCCAAGCATAGACGACCCGAGATCATCCGTAGGAGACTACAGGGTGAACTGGACCAAATTCAGGACTGGTGCGTGAAATGGAAAATCCGCATCAACGTCCAGAAGACGCAGGCAATCTTCATTCAACGAAGAAGGATTGCAAGACCTCTCGAAGCATCCATCTTCGATGAAGATATCCAGTGGAGCGACAATGTCAAATATCTGGGGATCGTTTTTGACAAGTCCCTCACCTGGAAAGCGCACATAGAAGCTGTCATCGCAAAAACCAGAGCAGC